GAGGTGAGTCGTCTAATTAAGTTCGTAGCTGGTACAATTTCCTTTCTCATCTTCACCACATGATCTTTCAAAGCTCCAGAAGCACTAACTATCCTCCCCAGAAACTTCAACTGTCCTACTCGGTCAATGTCAACATTATCTAACTTCAAGGAAAAAGAGTTCTTACACCCTATTGCCATGTACATAAACTTTGTTTTAGCTATGTTTATTTTTAAACACCTCCCAGAACATAAACTCTGAAATGCTGCAAGCTTATTCCTCAAATTATCTAGAGCCCCTGTTGTCGTGCTGTCAGTTGACACAAGTAGAAAGTCATCTGCAAATTGGGAAAATGTGAGTATTTACATCTCCTAAGCCATGTAATTCAGCTGTATATGTGTTAAACAAAACCGGTGAAAGACAGCTACCCTGCGGTAACCCATTTTCCACACAAATCTCGCTTTTTCCAAGGATCAGCGTTCTCCTGTGGAGAAAATTGTAAATCCAACTATAGATTTTGTGATGCACCTTATATTCATTCAACAGTTTCACTAGCTGGACAATGTCCACGCAATTGTAAGTATTCGCTAGATCAATACTACATATAAAAACTACCTTTTTATTTTGTTTCTCACTACCTATTACCTGCATACACTCATTCAAACACATTGCAGTCGATTTATTTCTCCTATATGCAAAACACCCCCTTCTAGGTGGTTCGATTCGAAGTAATCAGCTAACAGCTCCTTGACAACCATATTGATACTTTTAACCATGACCAAAATAAGAGAAATCGGCCTGAAATTTTCAATGTTCTCTAAACAGCCATTACCCTTCGGTATCGGTACAATTTTAATCCTACGCCAGGAGTTATCAATTTGGTTTCTATCAAAAAATTGTTGCAAAAGACCCACCAAAGTGTCAAAAGTTCCCTCGGGGAGAGCTTTAAGCATCTTGTAAGTAACTTTGTCTTCTCCTCCAGCTGAGGACTTCTTTTTCCCTATTAGCAGTGAAAGCCGCGAAAAGATATGATCACAAACCAAGTCCGATTGACCCGACGTCGACGGTAAATTGTCTAGCATCTCAAAAAGTGATGGGGAATGTTTATTAACTATCTGGTTCAACAGAAAGTCTAAATACGCAGCATTATTTTCAGAAAGCCACTGCGAGACAGAATTTTTTTGTACATTTTTCACATTATTGATGAACACCCAGGCTCTTTTCGTATTTGGGTATGCACTTAACTCCTCAACTGCTTCAAGGAAGTTAGCTTTTTTTGCCTCCTTGACCGCTGCTTACCATTCGTCTAACAATTGACACGCCACTTCAATATCCTCAAATCTCCTTGTTTTCCTAGCTTAACAACGCGCCGCATTCAGTAGCCTGTATTTTTTAGCTAAGGACTCGTTCCACCACGACTTGGGAGTGTGCTTAAATTCGTTTAAATCAATTGTAGCACTTTGTTTAGCTACATCCAAAGCCTCAGTCAGATCCCCAATACTGCTAACACCTCTAACCTTCCCCAATTTTTTGTACAACACATTTTTCGAAACAAAGTAGCGGGGCTGCTTTGTGATGTTATCTACGTCAACCATCACAGGACAGTGATGACTACCACCCACAAACATCCTCTTACACATCCACTTTACATTGTCCGTCATGTCAGTGAAAGCAAGATCAAGAACACTACTGTGTCCTATTCCCATTAGTACCGACGTCGTAAAATAAGTCCTGGAACCATCATTCAAGCATCTCAATCGCGAACCCTCAAGCAGATCAGACAAGGTTTTTCCCCTAACAGAGTCCACCGTATCACCTCACCTAGTCATCCTCGCGTTGAAGTCCCCCAACAAAAGAACATTATTATGCGCATTCAGAAATAACAACAGACTGGAAACATCCGACTCAAAAACTGCAACCGCAATGTTCGGCGGAAAATAGGCACTGCAGATCGTCAGATTACAAGTTAAATTTACTGTTTTTGCAATTACTATGTCATACGATGTCTGGTATTTAACTTTCCTAAATTTCATTCTTAAAACCAATCGCCACTCCCCCATACCCATCAGGCCGGGTTTTTTTCAAAAGTCTAAAATTTAAAAGTTTGTGATCTTCTTTACTGTCATCGTGCGAAAAAATTTCTTGTAGGGCAACTATGTCTATATCATTATGAACAACGAAACTATCAATGTAATTTTAATTTGTTTTTAAACTCTGGCAATTATATTGAAGTATTTTGACCATAATTATTGTTTTTTCGAACCCTGTCCATCCTTTCCTCAATAGCCTCACATCGTCCATCCTGATACTTTAAGGCTGCTATTACAGAGATCAGCGGATCATCTCTTCCAATGTCAAACCTGTTGCATAATAAATTAATAATCTTTTCTATTTCAGACACCTTTGTCCATTCGGGTCGTTGATACACTGGAATAATTGGATTCTTAACTTTTGGTGGCCTTGAAGGTAACCTCTTCTCCACCTGCATTGGACCTTGAAGTATTGAGCTGTAGCTTTTCCTAACCAACCGCCTATTTATTTCTGCATCCGCGTTCACCACTTTACTACCCTCTTCTCCAATTGCAGGAAAAACCTCCTCTAAGTCAGCTAACGCCTGAAAACGATTGTACGAGTTAAGCTGCGTATACGTTTCATACACCTCCTTCTTAGTTAATTTTTTTATTGTCATCACCTCAACAATCTCCCTCTCCTTTTGCCACCTCGGACACAGATTGCTATTTATTGAAACGTGTTTGGAATCACCACACAGTATACATTTTTTGTTCACACAGTTTTCATTACATTTCCCCTCGGTCCCACAAAGAATACAACGGGTCTTCGACCTACACCCCAACCTCGTGTGTCCCAGTCTGCCGCAATTATAACATTGCTTAACAGCTGGAAAATAACGCAAAACTTTACAATTTGTGTAATAAATTTGAATGTTTTCCGGCAATTGATTGCCTTCAAAACACAATTTTATTGTCTGGGTAGGTATAAAATTAGTCCTGTTATCTCTGTCACGTCTCTTTATTCTGTAAACTGAAGTCACCTTTATGTCCGACTTAATATTGTCCAGAATTTCGTCATCAGTGAGCTCCTCCGGTATGTACCGGTAAACACCGCACGTTTCAACAAACGACCTAGGAATAAAAGCTCTTATGTTGGCTTTTATCAAATTCACATTGCATAAGCATTCATTCGCAGCTTTTACTGATAGAAACACTATCTTGTAAAGCGTCCTGCCTACAGCTCGTATCTCTTTTAGATCTTGAATACCGAAATTTTTAATCTTATTCCACAGAAACACTCCATTTTTTGCATACTTGTTATCGAAAATACTAGATTTGGATGTATCTAATAGTATAGCAAAAGCTCCCTTGTAATCCACTGGAAAACTACAAATATCCTTACCACTCACTTTTTCTTGTCAACACTCCTGCACCACTATCAATCTGCAAATTATTTTCAGTCAGGCCACCACCTGTCGTATTTGAGGTTATATTATCCTCGACACCACCCGATGCCGCCGCCATAACTGCCGAAGTTATGGGGGACCGTTCGTCATTGCTACCAACCTGACTAACACGCTCACCATTTGAGGTTATGTACGACTGCAATTTATTAACAGCCCCTGCATTTTGCACAGAATTTTCCGAACTCAACGACAACAAAGACCCATTTTCATTAATTCCAACGTTAGAACTTGGAAATGGACTTTCTTGCATCGCAAGAATATCGCTAATAACCGAACCCTTCGGAACTAACATGCCTTGAAAGGCTGGCATTTTACGCGCGCTTTCTTCATCCGATTTACCCTTATTTCTTTTCTGTCTACGTCGTTTTCGTTTCACAGCGAACCCATCGAGGGACCCATTTGAATCCAACGGATCCTTACAGCCACCCGGGTCACCGCTCCACTCCGACGACGAAGCGCCCGGCATCTCAAATTAAACAGACAATCAAAAAACAAAGCCAAGCACTCACCTCTTTGAATTTCGTACCAAAAACGGCAAAAATTTACCAAAAGATGCAGGAAGGAACACTAAAGTGTTTGTTACTTAAGATAAAACTAATACTTTCACAAATTCTTAAATAATAAATATTTCAGTCACAAGAAAAAATTTTTCTGTGAAAAGTTTGAAAGAACCGCAATTAAATCCAAAATGGCTTCCGACACACAGACGTTGCACGTTCACTCTTCTTGAAAGTCTTTGCAGGAAATGGTTCAAAAGCTTTCCACCCACTCCTCCCTGTTTGAGATCACCAAAGAGAACTTTCCATCCGCCACCAAGTTCGAACACACCGGTTTATGCTTCAGTATGTGACGTACTAGAGATAAATCGAAAGTAGCTATGTGGCAGAGCTGCCATCTTTAAAAAATTAAATTAATTAACTAGCTCACTTTTCTTTTGCAAGTGAAGTATAGTTTTTAACAGCACTTTTTCAAAATATTTTTCTTTTAAATAGGATTGCCACTTAATCTAAAATATTAGTAAATTGCATTATATAAGTATAATATTAACGAAGTTATTTTTGACATATCCGGAAATGAAGAGAAAACGACTACGATTTTCGTTAATTTTCGTATGCAAAATTAACAGAAGAGGACTACAGTTTTCATACATTTTCGGATCTGGAAAACGTTCGAAAAAGATGATGTTATTTGAAAGCAATAATTGTATTCTATTTGTTCAAGCTAAACATTTGAAAGCAGTAGTCGGCGCTGAGGCTAGTATTTGTTAGCTTTCAGAAGGTGCCGGATTCGAATACCGTCGGACGCGTTCTTAATGTTTTATTAATTTTTTGACCATGAATAAGTCCCTGTGAAGTGCAGAAGGAAAGCGCATTAAACGAAAAATTTACCTTATCAGTCATTTTTCAGAAAAACAGTCAAAAACATATTCGTTTCACACAATTTGCGGCACTCGTTTGTGCGGCACACTTTAGTATTAAATGCATGGATATATACATAATTAGATAGATATGACTTTTCGAAAACGTGGCAACCCTAATCGTTCGTTTTACACTCATACTTTAATATTTCATATAACTTGTGTATAAGTTAACTAAATTCGAGTTTTCAAACAGGAAGTAATTTTCATCTAAAATCTTTAAAATTTCTTTCGTAGGACATTATGATATATACTTATTTTAATTAACTGATAAATTAAGTTGAATTTAATGTTTCTAAACGTGGCAACCCTAAATATAGCTCAGAAGTGAAGCATTTTCAAACTCATTTAAATAAATACCCATATTTTTGATACCTCATTTAACTTATTAAATGATTTGAATTTAAATTTGTGAACCGTTGGCATCCCACTTCGAATCTCTCAAAAATATTCCTAACGTTCAATTAAAATAGTTCTCAAAACTTTTTAGTATAACACCCATATTTTAATATTTCATATATCTCGTGTAAAAATTAATTATGTTCGACCTTTCAAACAAGTGGCAACCCTCTTCAAAATATTTTCAAGCTACTACCTTCTTAAACCTCTTTCCTCTGACGCCTTTATACGGTGATACATAATCCAATTACCTAATTTCCTTAGATCAAATTGAATTTAATGTTTTAAATAGGTGGCAACCTCCCTACTACATGTAGTTAAAAAACAAAACCTTTTCAAAACCATACCCATATGGTACTAATTGATTTATTTTTTTTTAATAATTTGAAGTAAATTTTTTAGTAGGTAGCACATAAGTGCCCTTTAATATTTTTAAAATAAAGCACGCGTAATGAAAACCGCTTTAAAAATAACTATAAATTCCTTAGACATTTTATTACAATCGCAATTTTTAATGTTGGTTTTGTAGAAGTTTATGTGTAACAATTCCAAAGAAAGTAGCAGCAAAATACATATTTTTGAACAGAAATAGCACACAGTACCATTCCATGATGCAGCTTTAATTGGGGATGGTCAAGTGGATCGAATTCTAGGCGTACCAAACGCGAAAAGGGTAGTTCCTCAAACAACCTTGGCTCGATTTATGCACTTTGTTCGACTCATAGACGCTTAAAAGACAAGCATAGATATGTATATACATACCAACTATTTACTAAGTATCTACAAATGCATGTCACTTGTAATACATAATCGTAATTGATGATATTCACTCATAGTGGCATTTCATTTACATTTGTCTTCTCATTCCACATTATTCATCAGCAACAACGCAACCCGCGACGGCTGTTACGCACACTCAATTCAATTAAATTTAAAATTGTATTTTTATTACTGCGTTGATTTGTCGCTAAATCTTGAAACATTTATGTATGCACTAATTTATATGTTAACTATACCTATTAATGATTTTTTTTACGCTGATTACAATGACTCAGCCCCTTAACCACGTACTACTTGGTGAGTCATCGACCGAGCTCAGCGGTTTTATTTCTATGTATTGCTTGTTGAATTTGATGCCTTACTTAGCACTTACTTTACATACATACTTGTAAGCACTTTAAATAACAATTCTTTTACACAATTAAGTCGTTAATTTATTGAATCACTGCAAATTTATGCATTTGCGCATGTTGATGTCCTTTCGAATTTGCCAAAGTGCAGAAAAGTAATAAAAATCGCAATCGCGACCAAAAAATAAATTGCAGAAACATACATACATACATACATGTGCGTATAAAACTAAAACTGTGCGTGGCTACTTCGAAAGACAGCAAAAAATAATAGAAATTTTTAAGAAGTGCATATAAGAAAAATGCATTTCTGGCATGCACACGCATCCATTTGTATGCCGGTACCACATTTATGCATACACATAGCTTGAAAGAAAGCAAAATTGTATGCGCTCCAAGTTTATACCAGTTTTTTTTCGTTAAAATTTAAATGAGCTTCACGCCTGCGCAGAAATGTATTCATATGTGGGAAAAGTGAATATTTACTTGAGTGCTTACAGTGTTCCATAAAACTGAAAGTAGAAGAAATATGTACATACAGTCAATCAATAAAGTTTAGGTACAGCGAGTTTTTTGCAATACGGGCAACTGTTTTTTAATTATTTCAGTTTTTGTAATTTTTTTTTATAAAAGTGTTGTTAATTCTACAGCACAAACACCAAAAATCTGAGCTCCAAACCTTGTACAAAATTAAAGAAAATTCTGCAGATTTTCATTAAAATATTGCACTTTTTAATTACATCCTTGCATTAAAATATTGCACTTTTTAATTACATCCTTTCGAAAAAAGTTTTTTAGCCCATTCAATTTTAGTATAATAAAGTGCATGTCTGAGGTAGATAGGACTTACCAATGATTTTTGGCAAATTTTTTTGTTGTAGCTGAAGCTCATTTTCTCTATATAAAATAATTTTCGACTTTTTTTATATGGAGAAAATGAAAGACACCTTCAACAAAAAAATTGTCAAAAATCATTGGTAAGTCCTATCTACCTTAGACTTGCACTTTATAC